GCTGAGTCCGCATTCTGCGCCAGCCCCCTCCCCCCAGCTCCAGGCTTGGGCACCTCCCCCACCGTTATGGCCCTCTGTCTTTTCCTTCCTCCAAAACAGCAGCCCACAGATACATTTTTTCCCAGCCCACCCTCCCTGCAGGCCGCCAGCATGTCCTACTGCATGAACCTCCGTGCTGTTATCTCAGCCACCCCAGCCTCTGCAGAATGGCCCTTCCTGGGGCCCATACAATTGGCAGTGGGTAAATGCAGGCATGGAGAGGGCATGCATGTCTTTTTTTTTTTTTTTGGTTTTTTGGCTTTTTTTAATTTATTGATTAAGGTATTACATATGTGTCCTTTCCCCCCCATTGTTCTCCCCCCCCCTTTCCCCCGTGGCATGCATGTCTTTTTTGGGGAAAAACTTGAGGAAAGGATGTGCAGCTTCCTTTATCCACCCTGTGGTTCTCAGCCCCTCATATTCAGGAAGTTCTCTCTGTTGTCTGACCTCAGTCTCTCCTGCTGCAGCCCATTTCCTCCTCTTCCTATGGAAGTGTATTGCAGACGTCTTCCTCTGGAGGACCGGAGACCATTAGTCTTTAAGTCGCAGAAAGCTTGTTCCCAGCAGGAGGGCAGTTGATTTAAGGGTAAGAGGAACTGAATAGAGATCATCTCCCAGGAGAGACAGAGCGGAAAGGATGGATGTAAGGAGCAGGGTTCAAATACCAGTCCTCTTAGCTACCTATTAGCTAACCTTGGGCAAGTTATTTAATATGGCGGACTCTCAGTCTCCTCAGCTGTAAAATGGGTTAATGCTTATCTTGTGCACATTGGTTATGCGGATGGCTATGAGGATTGATGTCCATGGAAGCCAAGAATCTAATACTATGTATGCCCAAGGCTGCATTAACTCGTAATGAGTCATTGTTGTTATTGTGTTAACATTATGAAAGGCATCTCCAGCCCAGGGCCAGGCTGAGGTAGGCCAGTGAGGCCCCCGGGGTGCAAAATTCAAGGAGGCCTCACTCTCAGGGCTGTGCGGGTGCACTTGGAGCAGCCGGAGAATGGTGCCTCCTTAAACATTCTGCTCTTAGCCTCACCCGAGTCCCTGCCTTGCTCCAGACTCCCGGGTTTGCGATCCTAGAGTAGAGTGATCCTCGAAGAGCAAGACTTGGTCAGCAAGTGGCACCACGTCCATACCCTGCCACCTGCTCCTGAGCTGAGCTCAAGTTGTCCAGCCTGGAGGCCAGGGGCATTCTGAAGACCCCTGGTGGGGCTGTGGTCAGCTGCCCAGAAAGTCTGGGTCCTTGAGATCTAGGTTTTTTTCTGGGGACAGATGGGGACAGTCCCCATCTGGGCTCCATCTGCTCGGTCCTTCTGCAGCTGAACCTCAGGAGGAAGGAGAGACGAGCCCACAGGAAGGCAGGGGACAGGGTGGAGGGGCTGCGAGGGGAGCTCAGCAGTGGGCTTTACAAAACTCGTGCCAACTCCAATCCTGCCATTAACGTTACCCTGAGAAGCTGGGCCAGTCAGACCTCTCTGCACCTCAGGAGGGAGGAGACGGGGTCTGAAGTCCCTCTCAGGGCTGTTCTGAGGAGTGGTGTGGGAGGATGGAGGTGAGGGTGTACACGTGTGTGTGCACGTGTGTGAGTGGGTGGGGTGTCTGTGTTGCTGAAGGGCCTCTGCCAGCCATTGGAACTCTGGGGCGGCCACTTCAGGAGTCCACAGCTGGGGTGGTCTGGGAGCTTCCCTATAGCATGCCCAGGGCCTGGGGCAGGCTTAGCTTCAGGGGAGGCCACCCTCATGTTTCCAGTCCCTTGCCTTTTTCATTCCCAGTCGGCCCAGAACTGGCAGTTCCTGGGAAACAGAAGCAGGACTTCAGTCCCAGAGGACTGGGAAGGGGAGGGTGGGAGCACGGCATGCATGCTGGGCCGTGTTTGCAAACACTGCAGGAAAACGCTGGGTGTTCAGGTCAGGAGGGGTTTTTGGAAATTTTTAGCTCTTCAGAAAGCATCTCAACCAGTAAGTTGAAGGCATTTGATGGCTGGCAAGCGTCTTTCTGTGGCCGGCTTCCAGCTGGCCCGGGGAAAGGGGTGGGGGCCAAGGTTACCGTGCTCAGATGATTGTTGGCAGGGAGAGAAGTTTCTCTTGCACTGCTGAGGCCTGTGGTTTCTAATATTGACTCCGACTCCCAGTTCTGCTTTGTGCCAGACATGGGAGGGGTTGGGCAGGAGGGTCAAGGTGGGGCAGGGTGGGCCACAGGAGGAGGGCCTGGGAGTGTGTGTGGGGTGGAGAGGATAAATAACTGCTAGCATTTACTGAACGCTTTCTAAGTGCCAGGCCCTGTTCTAAGTGCTTTATGTGCTTCCTCTCATTTGATTCTTTCAACATAGAGCCAGTCTGTCCCATTGAGGCGCAGCAAGGATGAAGCGACCCGCTTGAGGTCACACAGTTAGCAGTAGAGACAGTCTGTTTAGACCAGCGCTTCTCAAAGGGCCATCCCCAGACCTGGAAACCTGTTAGAAATGCACATTCTCGGGTCCCACCGAGTTCTGCTGGATCAGCCCTCTGGGGAGGGCCCAGCCCCTGTGTGTCCACAGCCCTCCAGGTGTTTCTGAGTCACGCTCAAGTTCAGGGCGCCCTGGCTCACACTCTGCTCTTCAGGAGAGTCGTGGCCTCCGGGAGGTTTCCCCCAACGCTGGATGAGGGCTCTGCAGGGCCTGCAGTATCCTGGGCAGGCACTTCCTCTGCAGCTTCCCCATCTCACCCCATTGCTGTCCTTTCTGAACAGCCTGTCTGGAGAGGCTGGCTCAGCAGAGTGAAGAGTGAGGGCTTTGGAGTGGGGAGAGCTGGGTTCAGATCTCTGCTCTGCAGACTCTGCATATAGAAGGTCTCTGTGATCTGCCCTCCAGGTGTGTCCCTCCTGCCCCCGGGGCCAGAGAGGAGGTGGTCCTGCCCAGGCCACGGTCTCCACGGGAGCACCACAGAGCCCTGGATCAAAGGGACAAGTGGGGTCAGAGGGCCAGGATTTCCCAGGGGGCTCATTTGCCCCCGGCCCAGTGGCCTGTGGCTCAGCAGCGGGGGCTCTGGGAGGTGGCTGGGCGAGGATGAGGCTGGGCCGGGACGGGATGGGATGTGTCATCTTTACTCCTCCAGAGCCATCCTCAAACTCCAGGTGGGTCGACCTGAGGGCTAGAGGGGCTTCCTGATGTGCCTCCCCGCCTCCTACTCCATTCCTGGACCCTGTCCTCTCTCATCCATCCTAAGCTGCTTGGCCCTGAAGTACGCTCAGGAGGTTTCATCCCCTGGAAGGAAGTTTTGGCCTCAGCCACCCGTCTTCTTTCCAGGCAGGAGGGGTAAAGTCTGGGCCATTTCCAGAAAGAGCACGGCTGCCTTCAGCTTAGCCGGCCTTCTTCCTCCATGTCCGCCTCGGCCAGTTCTCCCTGGCGCCAGACCCTCTCAGTGGTCATTCTGTCCATCCCTCTGTCTTCAGACACAGACAGCTTGCCCCTCAGGTCCCGGGCTGAGACAGTCTGTCTTAACTGGGCCCACGCTCAGGCGTTTCATGACCTTGGCAGTCATGCTCACGTCCTTCTGCATGGTTCAGGGGCCCCCGAACCACTTTGCTGAGTTGGAAATGGAGCCCTAGAAACTGGTCAGGAGGAGGCCTTGGAATGGGAAGTTTCTCTCCTGTTTGGGGGGAGTCCTAGGAACCTGTTTTTCAGGTTGCCTTTAGCAGGAAGCACTCCTATTGGTCTGGGCAGGGGAAGGGTGGCACTGGGGCGAGGGGCAGGACCAGTCCACAGGTGTTTATTGATGGCTTGCTGTCCATAACCACAGGCCCTGGCATGAGGGATATGGCAAATGAGTTGGTAAACATGCTGCTTTGAATATGTTTTGGAGGCAGGTGGGATAGAATCACAAATAAAACCAGACATAATCCCATGATATGATTATTCATGTGTCAATGACCAGATGAATGGCACTGACAGAGAGACGTACTGGAGTTGAGAGGTGGGAGAGAGAGTTCTCCTTGCTGAGGTGTTCAGGGAGGGCTTCATGGAAGAGGAGAGCTTTTAGGAAAAGAGGGGAAGCTGTTCCACCAGGAAAAGCCTGGATATGAGAACAAGTAAAGGGATGTAGGGGGCAGGTCTGGGTGGAGCAGAGCTTTTGGGCATGAAAACTGGGGTCTGTGAAGAGGCAGGGCCAATGCAGGGGGGAGGCCTTGAAGAGTTAGGACCCACAGGCCTCTCATCCCAGGCTGCTGCCATTTCACACAAAGAGCAAGAAGTGCAGAGCCCAAGGTGGGGTTCAAATCCTGTTGTCCCCATTAGTAGTTGATGACTTGGGCCACTCATTTAACTTCTGCATATCTGTAAAGTGGGCCTCAAAAGTAATAATGGGCCCTGGCTGGTGTGCTCAGTGGTTGGAGTGTTGGCCTGCACACTGAAGGGTCTCAGGCTTGATTCTGGGTCAAGGGCACATATTTGGGTTGCAGGTTTACTCCCCATTCCCGGTTAGGCTGTGTGCAGGAGGTAACCAGTCAATGTGTCTCTCTCACATGATGTTTCTCTTTCTCTCTTTCTACCTCCCTCCTTCCCTTCCACTCTCTCTGAGAAGCAATGGAAAAAATATCCTCAGGTGAGGATTAAAAAAAAAAAGGTAATAATGGTGCCTGCATCACAGGGTGCTTGTGGTGGAGGAGACGGTATTGATGAAAACGCCTGGCATGTTGGCACAGTGACGGTTACTCTCTCCTTGTTCCTTTTTGAACCGTCAGCGACTGCCCGAGTTAGAGGCCTGGCTGATGTTTGTCCAGGTGGATGTTTACAGTACCAATAGGAAGTTTTTTATTTTCCAAACTGTGCCTCCCAACGTGGGGACAGCCAGGTTCCATCTTGGGTTGGAGTCATGTCCGGCCTTTGGAGGCATTCTGTCCCCATGGCCATCGGCCTTGGAGAGAGAGCCAATCTGGGGGTGTTTGTCCTGAGGACTCACGCTGCCTTTTCCCTTTGTCCACAGCCTGTCAACACGGAGAGTGCACCAAAGAATGTAGTGGACACGGTGAGTGACAGCAGGCCCCGGGGTGGGGTGGCGGGGAGCCGCCTGGGAGGCAGGAAAGCGGAAGATGGATTTGGGGAAAGTGAACAGATGTGTTTGGGGATATCCTTCTGGAGTAGATATGGGGAAGTTGGGGGAAGTGGGGGCGGGGCCATGGGTGACGTTGGGGGCTGGTGCATTTGGAAATGGATTCCTGGGGAACTAGGCAGGCAGAGCAGGAGAGGCAGGGGTGGGAGCGGAGAGAGAGAGGCCAGTGGTTAAATGTGGGTTTCTTTATTAAATATGTAGGAATTGAGAAAGCCAGGCAGATCTTTCCGAATAGATCTTTCTGACTTAGCAGAGAGACAGACAATCTCAAGGCTGCAAGGAGGAGGAAGAGGAAAAAGTCAGTGGGCTCTGAAGTGGGAACTGAGGTTAGCAGCTGTGAGGTGTCTCCGGCAATGGCCGGTGTTGAATGGCCTGGAGCGGGAGACTCGGGTTTAAATCCTAACTCCTTGGAGTTCCTAATTGTGTGACTGTAGGCAAGTCATGAGCCTGTCTGTGCCTCAGTTTTCTTATCTGCAAAATGAGAATAATAATATTTCCCAGGGTTGTTGTGAGACACAGAGAAGAGGGTTTGATTAGCTCTGAAAGGCCTTCAGTGGACAAAGAAATGTTAGACAGCCAAGTCACCCCCACCCCACCCGACCCCGGGCCCTTCTGCAAATCCTCTGACCCCCCACCCCTGCCAAACCCAGCAGGTGAAAGACCTAGTGCCTTTTGATTACTTTCTTTGACTCCCCTTTTTTACTGTCTTGTCCCTCTCTCTCCAGGGAGAAGGAACCTTCCGGGGTGGGAACACTCGGAGAAGCCTTGAGGAAGACGTAAGTATGGGGGAGAGGGGTAGAGAAGGATGTGGCTGGGCTCCTGGTGCTCAGAGGGACTGGGGATGGGTGGGTGATATCTCACACCTCTCTTGTGGGGCGTCCCTTCCTCCTCTCCAGAGGGCAGGCAGGGTTGCCCAGCTTGGTTGCTGAGCAAGGGAGGAGGGGCTGGGTGAGCAGACCCCACCTACTTATACACTGGGCCTCAGACTTGGCCTTGGCCTCTAGCTCAGCTGGGTCCAGAGCACTTTTGCCCATCACTTTGTCAGGGTGGGAATGGGGAGGAGGGCGGGCTCTGTGAGGCCTGGTTGGGTGGTGGGTGAGCAGTCACCAAGGTGAGGGCAAGGAGAATGGTCAACACTGTAGGGACCAAGGGCAGAGATGAAGAGGGACTCTTGAGCCCTTAGAGCAGTGGTTCTCAACCTTCCTGATGCCGCGACCCTTTAATACAGTTCCTCATGTTGTGGTGACCCCCAACCATAAAATTATTTTCGTTGCTACCTCATAACTGTAATTTTGCTACTGTTATGAATCGTAATGTAAATATCTGATATGCAGGATGTATTTTCATTGTTACAAATTGAACATAATTAAAGCATAGTGATTAATCACAAAACAATATGTAATTATATATGTGTTTTCCGATGGTCTTAGGTGACCCCTGAGAAAGGGTCGTTCGACCCCCAAAGGGGTCGCGACCCACAGATTTGAGAACCGCTGCCTTAGAGGGTCATCAGATCTTGGGGAATTGCATGCTCTGCTTCTTTGGAGAGAGAAAAAATGCAGAATCCTTTATGTGGCTCAAATGCCATTGATTCAGGAAGAACCTGGAAGGTGGGCCAACTGGTCCACGATGCTCCTTCTGCCATGCATTTTTGCTGGAAGTCAGTGAGCACATTTCTTAAGCGGAAGGACCCAGAGGAGGGTAGCGGGGGCTCTCCCACCCCCCTGCTTTGGGCAATACTGTGGCGGGACTTGTCCTCACACCCCAGGAGCTGACGCCCGACCGAGTTGGGCCTTTTTCTTCCTTCCCTTCTCTGACAATTTGCCCCTGTGCTGGCCTCTCCATCTTTGCCCGCCTTGATCTGCAGAGGAACAGGGAGTGGTTTTGGCGGTTGGCACAGGGGGAGCTGTTGATGGCATGAGGCCCTATCATCTGACAGCTGCCTGACCCATGGTGGGGAGGGCCCAGAGGGAGGTGCTGGGGCAGCAGGAGGCAGCTTCTGCAGGCGGCAGCACTTCTGCGGTGAGCCCACCGCCACTGCCTCATTGCCCGGGGGCAGCCTGCACCAAGAGGGGAGGCGTCCTCGTCCTCCGGAAGAGCGGGAGCATGCCTCTCAAATTAGTGGGGAAGGCTCTGCTCAAGGTAGGAGGGGTCCTGTGAGCACAGGTACACATGCTGGAGAGGGGCCCTTGTCCGAGTTTGTGATGTTTCTGGGGCTGGAGTGCAGGGGAGAAATTCATTTTTTGTGTACTTGCTATTGAGGACTAACTAGCGTAATGCACGCAAAGCACATGATATGTGCTCAATAAATGGTAGCTGTCTTATGACTGCTATTTTGACTGAGGGCCAGGAGCTGGGCTGGGTATTTTTTGATCCCCATGACAGCCCCTATGGCAGATGCTGTGACCCCATTTTGTAGATAAGCAAACAGAGGCTTGGAGGGGCTCGATGCCTCCATGCCTTCTCCATTTCTTCCCAGGACCATTGCTTAGATCTGGTGTTGCCAGGACTCCCAACCTTGGTGGGGGGGGACAGGGTGATGGTGTGTGAACCAAGACATTTAGCCAATGGTCTACAAACTCTTGTAAGTCAAGTTCTAGAGCTGCTGCTCCCACACCCCAGCCTGGGTCTGACGGACGCTGGAAGGTAAGGCTGCAGTAGGAGAGAGTGAAGTTAGACATCAGGAAGAACTTTTTGACACGTGGGTGTGTTTGACTTTAGTCCTGGGGAAGAAAGAGGTGGCCGTTTAATTGGGACTGGAGGTTTTATTTAGGAGAAAGTTGTGTTGATCTGGGCTGAATGCGTGTGTCAGGGGTGGGTAAGGGTGGTGTCCTGTCTGGATGTGGGAGGAGAGACCAGCGGTGTTTTGGTTGTTAGTCTAGTTTAAGGAGTGCATGAAAGGCAAAGCAGGCTCCAGAATGGCCTGCGTACTGCAAAGAAGGAGAGGAAACCCAAGTTTAAGGTCCCAGACATCTGTTGTGGGTTGGATGACCTCAGGGTGATTGAGTCAGTCCCCTGCCCAGCGGTGGGCTCCCTGCAGTCTGCCGCAGGTGAAGGGACCCGCTTTCAAGGTGACACGGCTGAAGTCCTGGGCCTGCCGCTGGGATAATACGCCTGTTTTTTTGAGCTGTTTTCCTGTCTCTGGCCCGTGGCCCAGGATTCAGGGCAGGAATGGCTGTTTTCCTCTGACTGCTGGTGTGCAGTGGAGTTCGTGGATGGTGTGCTGTGTCGCACTTTGTTTTGGAAAAATCCAGGCTGGTGGGCAGGAAGGAGAGAGGAAGGGGTGTGGCTGGAGGGGCTGGAGGGGGAGGGGCGGCCACTGCCCTCAGAGGAGACCTAGGAATGGGGATGGGCTCCTGACGTAGGTTGGTCACCAATTTCTGGCTGCCTGACATGGCCCCTGATATTGCTTACACACCCTCCTCCCAACTGTGCCCCCTGGGGACTGGGGCTCAGGAAACAGCTTTTCTTTTGGTCCAGGGCTGTTGTGTTTGGTCTGTGGACCTCAAAGGAAGGCAGGACTCTTCCCACACAGTGGTTGCTCTAACCAACCCCACCCAGGTCCCAGGGTTCCTGCTCCTTGCTGTATGGCGGGGAGAGGGTTGATAACAGAGCATAGGGTCATAGTCTTTGAGCGCTCGGGAACGGCTGAGCGGTGATCAGCAGCGAGGACCAAGGCAAAAAGAGTTGGCTGGACCTGCGGTAGGAAGGGTGAGGGTTAGACATCAGGAAGAACTTACCGGTAGTAAGAGAAGTAGGACCCTGTTTTGGTGACGCTGTGGAATTTCCGTTAGTGGTGTCCTTTCAACAAAGGACAGACTATTTTGGTGACAACAATAGGGGAGAGTTCTTCTTGGTGCACAGGGAATTGGATCAAAAGTCCTATTATTGATCTATGTCCTGGTAGGGGCTGGGAGGAAGTTTCGAAGCCCTGTGGAGAGAGAGAGAGCTTTGAGAGCCCTCAGTGAGGAAAAGAATGGGATGACAGGCAGACAGAGAGCTTAATTTTCTTTTCAAAATAAAATCTTTTGTAGTACTCTTTGTAGAGCCCTCTGATAGTTTTCCCTAAGGGCTCTAAGTGGAACAGGTCAATGATGTAGAATCACATGAAACTGTGCTGGACCCATTTTACAGATGGCTCAGTGAGACCGAGGGGCTGCTGCCGCCGGGCTCCGATGATGAGTACCTTTCTTCATAGAATAGAAGCTCTCTGAGGTCAGGGCTCCTCCTCCCCTGGGCCCCTGGTGCCTAGAACATTGCCAGGCACACAGCCTGCAGGACTCAGTGAAAGTTTACTGAAAAAGGGGGTGAGCACGGAGCTGGGTGGCAGAGATGACCACATCTCTCCCCCGTCCCCCAGCCCTCTTGAAAAGGGCCTGCATGCTGAGGCACGCTGGAGAACGCCCGTTTCCAGCCGTGTGTGTGAGGTCACCTGTGTTTTCTTGAGCGTTAGGTTGTGTTTGCTCACAGCCCGCCCCTGCTCCCCCACCCCCCGCCCATTCGTGGTTCTCTGGTTCTCCCTGCGGCTCTGTGTCCACCGACACTCGGACGTGTCACCCGTGCACGTCTGCTTTCTGCCAGCGAGTGTCACATGCCCCCCAACTTTGCAGAAAACAGGAAGCCCCATCAGTTAGAGGGCAGCCCAGTGATTCATCAGCGGATGACCATCCAGCTGTTCGTCCCCATCCTCTGGTGGGGTCACTGTCCAGGGCAGCTTCGCCCCTGCCCCCCCTTCCCTGGCCGGCCTGCTGGAGGGAGCAGGCTTGGACTTTGCCTTATCACCTCTGGAAGCGGCGTGGCCAGACTCGGTTGGGGCCAAGTTTTTATTTATCCTCCCTGGCTTTTTTTGGGGTGGGGAGGCTAAGGAATGTGGAGTGTTGTAACGTTGGGAAGGGGGGGTGGGGGAACGGGAGCCAGCTCTCCTGCCTTGCTCATCCTTCTCACCCCTGTGCCGTGGAAGCTCCAGGCCCCCTCAGCCCCCCAGTCCCCCTGCCAGGCCCGTCTCAGTATCCCCTTGTCTCCCTGTGCTCCCTGTGCCTGGACCTGTGGTCCTGGCCATACCTCAAGCCTTGGCTACAGTTGTGGCTTCCAGTTGTTTGAAGCAGCTGTGGTGGCCGCCTCCAAACGTGGCTGTGGATCCGTAACAGATGAAACCCGAGGGGCTATTTATAGCGGGGTGGCCCTGGGCCTGGAGCAGGGCCCACGGCCTGGGGAGGCTCAGCGACTCCTCGTCAGGGCCCAGCGCAGTGGAGAGAGATGAAGTGTTGGGTTTCTGCGTTCCGCTGGGTGGGTAGTTTTGGAACAGCCTGGTTTGGGCCTTGAAAACCAAACACAACCCTCCTCACCCCCCCACCCCCGCCCCCCCAATGCCTGACTCATGCAAGCCCAAGTCCTCAGGGCCAGGAGAGCTGCGGAGACAGAAGCTTTCTGCCCTGACAGACAGCCCCACTTGGCGTTTCCTCCTGCTGCCCGCCGAGGCCGAGCTGCTCCGGGCTGGGTGGGAGCCCAGGCAGAGGGGACTCGGGGTGCAGCTTGCTCCCTGCCGATGGATGGGGAGTCCTCTTAGCGGGGCTGCCCTGGCTTTGGGCTCAGCTGGGAGCTGGGCCTCCAAGCCCACCCCCTCCCGCCTCGGAGGCTCTGCGGGGCCTGGAGAGGGCTGAAGGGGGTCAAGCCTGAAGTCTGAGGTGAATCCTGCCAGTCGCCAGGACTTGGGGGTGAGTCACTGTCGCCTCAGTTTCCCCTCTCATTGGCAGATTGCGGTCCTGTCTCCTCCAAGAAGTGGTTGCAACTTGGTGGTTGGGAAAGGCTGGTTCCTGGGAGGCCCGTGAATGCTTGGACAGTGCCAATACGCTCAGAGGGCTTGGCTGGGCCTGGGATTCTGGGTGTTGGGTATCCGATTCTGCATCGTGTGAGGTGGCTGAAAGGATGGGCGGTTGGTGGTAGAAGTGATGCAGGGGTTTGATTTGGAGGTGAAGGTTTGATTGTATCCCTAACTGCCCTTATAATTGTACTTGATGTAATAACAGTAACCACAGATATGTCACTGTTATATGTGTAATTCCTTTTCATTTTCAAACAACCTATACCCCCACTTTGCATGTGACGTTCCAGAGGCTCAGAGCGTTAAGTAGGAAGGCTGCCCAGCGGGGTGCTGAGGGACTCAGCCTGGGCTTCCTCACTGTGTCGTTGGTGCCCTGGCATGTTTTGGACAGCAACTTGGGTCCCTTCGCCTGGTTTTGTATAAGTTGACAGCCCTGGAAATGGGAGGGGGTGAGGGGGTAGCATACGATGGGCGGTGGGTCCTTGGGGGCACGATTTGCTGCCTGAGCTGCTCTCCGTAGGTGCATGTTGTGCTGGCTGCTCTGTTTCTAAACCTCTGATTGAATGACTCGTGTTGCTGCTTTAAAGAAGAGGAGTGGGCATGGCGATGGTCGGAGGAGGAAGGTTTAGAGCTGGAGAGAGGGTGCCGTCACTCACCTTTCCTTCTCTCGTGCTTGCAGTCTGTATCCTCCCCTCGGGGTTCCTATTACGATGGCCAGTGAATCGAGATGAGATGAGTTTCCAGTGTCAGTAACTGTTTTATTGAGTGTGTGCTCAGTACAGATGGCACCAGCCCAGGCGTGGCACGTTTCTCAACATTGGGATTCCTTCCTCGCCGGGGGCTCACAGGCTCGCAAGCACACTCACGTGGAATTGGCATAGACTGCTCTTGGCTCTGGGTTGCTTTGTTGCTGTGGTGTTAGGGTGCCTGGGCTGGAATGTTGGCAGAGAAAGGAGAAGTGGATCTGCGTTTGCCCGTGACCCTGACTGCGCCGGTGGACAGCTCTCAGCCTGCCTCCTCCACAATGCTGCTTCTCTTTTCTCTTTTCCAGGGCTCCACCAGAGTCACCCCGAGTGTCCAGCCCCATCCCCAGCCCGTCAGGTATGCCTGGCCTGTGGGGGGCACAGGGTGGGGGTCCTGGCCGTGAGGTCACTGTGGGAGTTCCTGGCAAGTCATGCCTTTGGGTCTCCGAGACCGAAGTCATAAAGCCAGTGGTAGGAAGCCTGGGCAGCCGTGGCACCCTCCCTGGAGGGCGTGGGTGGATGCCGCTTGGAAAGGGTCATGCTCTGGGTTCTAGCTGGAAGCCAGCCTTGAGCCGAATTCTTTACGTACCTGCATGATTCATCTAGTCCTTGCAACAGCCCTGCAAGGTAAGTGTTTTATTCCCATTTGGCAGATGAAGAAACAGTTTCAGAGGTGGCTTGTTAGAGGTCGCACAGGGGCCTTGGTGGCTCGCGGACACGGCCTCTTTTCCCTGCGCCCAGCTTTTCTGGTTCTCTCTGTCTCACCTTCACCCCTGAGGCTCCGGAGATGAGTGAGAATCTGGCCCCAGGAAGATGGGGTCCCAGGGAGAGGGAACCTGGTGTGTGACTGAAACCCTTAGCAGGTTGTGGTCCAGCCACCCGCTGCCCTCCGACCTGATCTGCTCTTTAGAAGATCCCCTCCTCCCCCCCCAGCTGAGAAGCACCTTGGGTGGGCGGGTGCGGAGTGTGGTGCTGAGGTGGTCAGGCGGTGGCGCTGTTTTGCCTGGTGCAGGCAATGACCTGAGGTAGGAGCCCGCCTCAGAGAAGCTCCTCTTGGGGATGAGGGATGTCGGGGGTTCAGAGCTCAAATCACACTGGACCTTACTGCAGCCACCGGCCCTTCCACCACTTGGTCCCTGTCATTGCCACCATGGAGAAGCCTCACATCACCCCAGCTCCCCCATCTCCAGACCCCATCTACAGAGTTGGGCTCAGAGTTAACCTAGTGGAGACCGGGATTCTGCCCTACTTCTTAGGGGTCCTCCCCAGTGCTGCCCCATCACTTTGAAATACCCTGGTGGTATTCCTCCTGCTGCCCTCCAGTCTCAACTTTACCCCGCTGTAGTGACAGGTTATCAAAATGAAATGTGAGTTGTCCACCTCGGACAGAGAGGGGAAGCCAGACACTAGGAGACTGCTAATGGGTAAGAAGGTGTCGGGATGGGGAGCGTGTGCGGTGACCCCAGAAGCTACAGGGCTTCAGAAGGGAATTCCAGCATCTCAAGATCCATTCCCCCTTCCCATCAGCACCCCAGTGGGCCCTTGGACCCTCCCCCTGGAAGAGAAGCTGGGTGAGGTGTCAAGATGTGAGCCCCTACCTCCCCTCATCCAGTGCCCAGTTCAGGTGGCTCTCTACTCTCCACGGAGCTCAGATGGTGCTGGGATGTCAGGGGCTCTGCACCCTCTGCTTCCTGGGCCCTTAGCAATCAGGGAGGCCACTGCCACAGCGCTGGAGTGTGGGAGCTGCCAGAGGTGGGGATCGGGCCAGGGAACAAAGGGCAGGAGTTGGCCTGCCTCCGGGGAGGGCTGGAATGTGTGCTCTGGTCTGGCTCACCTGGAGCCCAGGTGAGCGTGTCACCTGAGCTGCCCCTTCCCCCAAGAGGCCTCCCGCCCACTCCACAGCTCCGAAGCCAAGGAGGGCAGCAGAAGACTCAGCCAGGGAGCTGGGGAGCACTCACTCAGCCTCTCTTTCCCCTTCCACAGCTGTCCCAGGAGCCTTGGAGACACTCCGCCAGACCAGGCTGCAGTGTGTCAGGGGGCAGAGCTGGGCTCCTGGGTTCCTGGCCAGCTCTGGCCCTGGCTGTGACCTCTAGGATCTGGGTGAAGGCAGTGCTGAGAGAACTGACGGGCACTTGGGATTGGTGTCATCACCATTTGGTTCTGACACAGCCTGAGATCCTTGCCAGCCCCTGCCCAGCTCTTTCTCTCTGGCGCCCCAAGCTGGCCTTGCTAGGGGAAGCCTCGGACCTTGGCTCTGGGTCTGGGAGCAGCCAAACCCCCTGGGTTGGATGTGGGGGCCATGCACAGTGTGTAGGGGGTGCAGATATCTGGTCCTTGCCCTGGGGAACTAGATTCTGATCTACAACCCCCTCTGCTAGTCTTCCCAGAAACATGAGTGTGAGCCAGACCATGGAGGACAGTTGTGAGCTGGACCTAGTGTACGTCACAGAGAGGATCATCGCCGTCTCCTTCCCCAGCACAGCCAACGAGGAGAATTTCCGGAGCAACCTCCGCGAGGTGGCCCAGATGCTCAAGTCCAAACATGGAGGCAACTACCTGGTGAGGATGGGCCTCTCGCCACTTTGCCAGCGCCCCTCTGCCCTTTCTGCCTGCCCCTCACTGCTGTGTGTGCGTGCTTGTGTGTGTGTAGTGTGCATGCATGTGTGTGCATGTGTGTGTGTTGACCAGGAGAGAATCACAATAAGAGCTCATGTTATGGAGCGCGTACTATAAGCCAGGCCTTGTTCCAACTGCTTTCCGCATATTTAACCTTCAGGACAGCCTAGAAAGCAGGTTTTGTTAGAGCTCAGAGAGGTGGGGTATCTGCTTAAGTTCACAGTATCAGGAAGTGGTGGAGCTGGCACCTATGAGAAGTCTTAAGGCAGAGTTGTGGCAGAGGCGTCGTAAGGGACCTTGTGTTGCTGACATGGGGACTGTACCTGGCCCAGGAGAGTCACCTAACAAATGTAGGCCACTTTACTGGGAGGTACATGCGACTGGACCAATAGACCAGACTGTGCAACCTTCAGGGGCTGCCCTTGGCTGTGTGAGCAGAGGTGGCTGTAGGAGGCTGTATTAGGTCCCTGGGGTTGCTGTAACAAATTACCACAACCTCGGTGGCTTAAAACAACGGAATTTAACTTTTCACAGCTCTGGGGGCTACAAGTCCAAATTGAGGTATTGGCAGGGCCATGTTCCTCTGAATTGTGTAGGGGAGCACCCTGCCTTGCCTCTTCCTGGCTGCTGGTTGCTTCGGCATCCGTGGTGGCCCCCGGCTTGTAGCTTCATCACTCAGATCTCTGCCTCCGTCGTCACAGGACCTTCCTTCTTTCCTGTGACTCTCTGTGTGTCCTTTCCTCTTCTTATAAGGACACCAGCCATTGGATTTAGGGTTCACCCTAAATTCGGGATGATCTCATCTCCAGATCCTTAACTACTTACATCAGCAAAGGCCCTATTTCCAAATAAGGTCACATTCTGAAGTTCAGGGGGATGTGAATTTTTGTGGGACACCATTCAACTCACTACAGACACCCATCCATCAGCTGTGTCAGACGTTGTTAAGAGCCTGGTTTGAAACATCAGAAAGTCCTGGGTTCGAATGCAGGCTCTGCTCTTATTAAGTAACTGATCTCGGCCACTTAGCCTCACTAAGCCTTAAGTTCCCCATCTATAAAGTGAGTCTAATAATACTATCCATGTCTTACGGTTGAAAGAATGAAGCCAACTGGTAGATGTAAAGTTCTTAGCATGGGTATGACAGGCTGTGGATACTCAAGTGGTAGCTGTTGTTCACATAATAAAGTGTGTTCCATTATGGGGCTCAAGAGTGGACTAGAAGCCATCTACGGTCCTTCCTGACTTTGGGAGTCCAGGATTTCATGGGACTCTGTGCTATGCCACCCTCCCTCCATCCTGCCTATACCAGACCGTGGGGTCGTCTTTTCTCCCCAGGAGGCAGCACAGTGGTCTTTGAGTTTCCCAGGCAGTGAGGTAGAGGTGGAGACGGGAATTCCAGAGATTGGGGGATTCTCATGGGCTGTGGTTAGGTGCCGGAGAACGTCTTCTGGGAGAGGATGTCAAGGGTCTGAGAGGGCCCACCCAGGACAGTTTGTATCCTCTGATGGGGGGTGTCTGACCGCAGAGCCATTGCATCTTCATGGGGTGAGTTTCTAAAGTCCACCTGTGGAATGGAAACTAGGGAAGGCCAACGCTGAACATGGGACCTGAGACCGGTTCCTTCCCCTTCTCATCTTTAGTTCTGGACGTCCGCTCACAGAGGGGAGTAGCTGAGAGTCTATACTTCTCCCTCCCCCCACCCCCCCATCCTGAGAACCTATAGTTGGGTTCCTGTTGATCCCAGCTCATGTGTGGGTGGGATCTCCAGCAGGGGCGAGAGCAGCATGTGAGCCCCTCCACCATTTCTTCCTTTTCTTCCTTGTAGCTTTTCAACCTCTCTGAGCGAAGACCTGACATCACGAAGCTCCACACCAAGGTGAGCCCATGCTGAGTAGGGTGGGAGCGTCTTTTCGCCTGGGAGGGGAGATAACAGACAATCCCCCTCGCCCCTCGGATCCCACGTCAGAGTCTTAGGGAAAGTGCTGTGACAGTTTGCAAAGCCTATTACAGTGCCATCTTCTCCTTGGATAATGGGAAAGAATCTATTCATTGTTTCCATAATACGAACTACAGAAAGCAAAGCTCGATGCAATGATTTCTACCCAGCTCTGCCTCCCTGGGGAGCTCTTAGGATCTCTGGGTGAGGCTGGAGCTGTGAGATTGTTAGCTTCTTTGAAAGTATCTTGGCTTTAAACTAGCTAGGAATGGCCGACGTGGACCTTCCCACTGCCAGCTCTCACTTGCTCACCCTGTGGGCCGTGGGCCGGGCTCTGCATGGTGCCTGCTCCCGGCTCCTCGATTCTGGTGCCTGTTGCTGTGTGACCCTGGGAAGGTGACACGCTTTTCTGGGCCTCAGTTTGCACCTCTGAAAGTGGACGGGCTGGATTAGGTATATTCTCTGGGCCCTTCCAAGCAGAAGTTCTCTTTTACTGTAAAGTTCTGTGAGTTTAGAAAAGTTTTGAGGAGCTGGAGACTGGGGTTCAGATCTGCCCTCTGTCTCCTTCAGCTTCTCTGGGCTGACCTGAAAAATCAATGGTGTGTGTGGCCAGGGCCTGGAAAAGAGCCACGAATAGCCAGGGACCCTTTGCTCTGCCCTCGCCCTGAGCCAGGCCTTGGGGTTGTCTGTGGGAGCAGAACTTGGGGGCAGTGCTGGGGGCACCGTCACATTTTGAGGTCAGAGTCATGTGGAAGGGACCTTGCCTTTGTTTTACTCACACATGAGAAATTGAGGCTAGGAGAAGGGCCATGACTGGCTGGGGCCCCACAGCAAGCCAGTGTCAGAGCTGAGACTCAGGCACAGGGTCCCTGGTCCTGGCCATTGTCCTATCCCTCCACACCCCCACCTCCCAGCTGGGCTGATAGGCAGGGCAGGAACCAAGGCCCAGCCGCTGGTGGCCACTGCCCGGTACTAGCATGTGGAGTGTGTGCTGCCCCCACTGCCCTGGTTGACCGTCTGGGCTTCTGCCACTTATCACTCCTGGCTTGGGCCGCAGGTACTGGAATTTGGCTGGCCTGACCTCCACACCCCAGCCCTGGAGAAGATCTGCAGTGTCTGTAAAGCCATGGACACTTGGCTCCCCACAATGTCGTCGTTCTACACAACAAGGTCAGAGTCGGCTGCAGGGTGTGTGAGTGTGTGTGTGTGTGTGTGTGTGTGTGTGTGTGTGTGTGTGTGCGCGCGCGTGTATGTGTGTGACCGTGCGTGCGCATGCCCATGGATGAGGGTATCTCCTGGCCTGTATCATTGGATTGTGTGTGTGTGGAAGTCTGTGTATTCTCCTTTCTAGGGATAGTAGATCCTGCCCCGGGGCCCCCACAGGAAGTGTGGGGCCCTCAAGTGTAGTGGGTGATCATCTGTGTTTCTTTCCCCCTCCCTCCCCCATACCCTTTCCCTCCCCCATATCCCCTCCCTCCCCCATACTCCCTCCCTCCTTCTGGTCTCCCTTAGAGCCACACCCTTCTCTCCAGCCCCTGCCCCTTCCTTCCAAAGCTCTGGATGGGCACGGGAGCAGTAGGCCTGCCTTAGAAATAAAGGCTTTTGTGTTTGGGGGCTCTTTCAGGGAAACCGAGGCAGGATAGGAGTGGTCATCGCCGCTTACATGCACTACAGCAACATTTCGGCCAGGTAAGAGGGCCCCCGAGCCTTCTGTTGTCTGCATATTGACCCACCCACGATTTCTCCCTTCCTTGGGGCGGGAGGATAAAGATAGAGGGCGTGAGAGGTTCTTAGGATGAGGAAGGAAGGTGCCTGCCATACCCCAGGAGCCTGTGTGTGGAGAGCAGGAGAGAGGAGAGTCCATCCCCCCATTGTCCAGCCTTGGGAGACGGGCCCATCCGTGAACACCCCATCCAGCCAGATTCTTGGGGCCACTTTTTCTTGCCAAACTGCCTTCTGTTTTCCTGGGTGAGAAGGGAGGGTGTCTGCAGGAAATGCTGGATCAGATCTGGGTCCAGCAAAACCATCTGGGAGTTATCTCATTCATCCCCCTGTCCCTGGCCAGCAGGGCCTGTTCCCACTTAGGGGTTTGGGGCAAGACTAGTAAACCAGCAGTGCCCTGTTTTGATTCCATTTTGCAGAGAGGCAGAGGGATCCATTCACTCATTGGTTTATTCTCTAGACTGAATAGTAGTTACTGAACAGCCACACACTGTTCTAGGTGCTGGGATACAGCAGTGGGCAGAGCCAGGCCACTGTCCCACGGACTCTAAGTATATAAGCAAGTGTATCCGTAATAGCAGGTGGTAAGATCTGTGAAAGAATGGAGACCAGAGCATGACAGAGGTCAGAGGAGGCCTCTGGAGGAGGTAATATTTGAGCAGAGACTCGAATTAGGCGGAGGAGAGCGGGACCGGCTGAGTCACATAAAGTCTGGGAGGGAACTTCCCAGGCAGAGAGAGGAGGAAGGGACAAGGCCTGTGGTGGGAATGCCATGCGAGGGGCTGGCAGGTTTTGAGCTGAGTGAGTGAGGAAATGAGGAGTAGGAAGTGAAGCTGGAAGGGGGCAAGCCTTGTAGGACTCGATAAGGACTTTGGGTTTTTTCTAAGAGTGATGGGAAGTGGTTGGGAGAGTCAAGAAGGGGCAAGCTATGGGACCAGTCACTACATTTTAAGATGATCTCTCTGAACGCTCTGAGGATGGGTAGAGGGTTCTGTGGAGGGCTTGCCAGTAGGATGGCAATTTTACAACTTTAAGAAATCTGTCTTAGCCTAATCTTTGCTTACTGGTGCACACTTGCTGTGCACCTACTATGTGTCTATAGGCGCCAAGCTCTTTAGAGATGTTAGCCCACTTGATCGCCATAACAAACTTTGAGGAGGAAGGCAACTATCCCTCTCATTTGACATGAAATAAAAAAAAATCAGTTTCAGGAAGATTAAATAACCTGCCCTAAGGATAGTGCTGAAGTGGTGGACTAGCGATGGGCTCCCAGCTGTCTAGCTCCAAAGCCCCCCGCACAGCACACAGGATTGCGAGCTGCCAGGGTGCTCTTTTCCTGAAAGCACCTCAGCACAGGGTGGCTGCAGGACTCTGCGGGTCTGGGGAGCGGGGAGGGGGCCGGAGGGGCTCTTGCACTTGGATGTTGGCTCCTCTCACCACCTGTCTTTCCCCCCAGCGCTGACCAGGCACTGGACCGGTTTGCAATGAAGCGGTTCTATGAGGATAAGATTGTACCCATTGGCCAGCCGTCCCAGAGAAGGTGGGTCACAGCCCAGTGCACATGTGTGTGCTCGCTATGTGTGGGGACTAGCCTCATGGACCCACGGGGGATGGAACAGCATGCCTCGGTGAGGGTGTACTAAATATGCATGTTCAGGGGCCAGTCTGGAGGGGTCTGAGATCAGGGACATGGGTGAGCCCATGAGCAGCTGTGTATGTGCCCACAGGTGGGCAGGGCAGTTGGCTCCTGAGGCTGGTACTGGAGAGCAGTGGGGGCATCGGTGGGGGACACGTTGGTTTGGGTATAAGAAGGCGGATTGTATGAGGAGGCTGTGCCATTCTTGGTCTTGGAAGCAGGATCGCTTCAGTGTTTGGATGAGTCTACAGGAAGCTGAGGTCCCTGCCACCTGCCCAGGGAGGTCACATACACTCTTGATAACAGTCACTTTTTACTGGGTGTGCTTTAAAAACTTTATCGAGGGCACTCAACCACGTGGTCTCATTGGAGTGCACAACAGCCCAGGCAGGAAGCAGGGCAGGGACTGAGGCAGTCATTCATTTGGCAAATTTCAGGCAGTCTGCTATGCTCCAAACGCTAGAGATATCTAGTTGAATGGGACAAAATCCATTGCCCCTTGTGAGGTGATACTCTACTGAGAAGGATGGACACTATACAGAAAATACACAGACAAGACAATTTCAGATCGTGATTAATCCTAGGAAGGAAAGAGAGAGCGCTGCAGCGCTGAGAGCTGAAGGGAGGGGAATGGGGCTATTTTAATGACCATGGTTGCTGGGGTCCAGCCCCAGCGGTCCAGGGGTTCCCAAAGGTGTGGACGGAGTCGACGAAGAATGTTTTACACGGAGACAGCGTTCAGAACTCTCTAGCTTTCCTTAGTCTCCGTGGATCTTCCTGTGTCTGGCTGAGGCCACAGAGAAAGATCCCAAGGCAAGCTGAGCCTTTATTTTATAGTGAGAGGTAAACAAGGTAGTGGTTTCCATAGTTACACAGTTCTTGTGAGTTTCACTTGTTTACACTCTTCTTGTGAGTTTCACTTGTTTTTGTTCTTGTTGCACTTCCCTCAGCCCATTAGCTTCCCGAGTAAGATCTAGGGAGCATCATAAGGTCAAGCCTAATTATGCTAAGAGGACTGTGCCCTCTAAGCTGGGACTTGTTTGTGACTTTGCCCACAGGTCAGTCCGAGGCTTAACCCTATATCAGCTCCCCACACATGGTCAGGGAATACCTCTCAGAGGAGGGGAATTTGAGCCCAAAGCTGAGTAATGCCGACCTACCACATGACGATCCAGGGCATCCCCATTTTACAGGAGGGTAGCCTGAGCCCAGAGGGAAGGGATGTGACGTGGCCAGGGCCCACAGAGAGCAGTGGCAGAGCCAGAATGTACTTGGGACCTCCCCCCTGGCTGTGCCATCCACCATGCTGAGGGCTCCCCCTGGATTCAGCTCTGTGGGTTGCATGCTGTTTAGTGATGTCTGATTCACAAGAAGGCACAGGTAGTGTCAGGATCAGGTGGGCCTTGGGGGGCTGCATGTGAGTGGGAGCCAGAATGGTGGAGTCCCAGACCCAGAGTGGAGAACTGGAGAGTTGGACTCTGGCCTTCCCCCTGTGTGGCCAGAGCTGTGGGCCCATCACACCTGTCTGTGATGTGTCGTGTTGGGCTACACGCTAAGGCTATGGTGCTGAATCTCTCAGGCAAGGTCTCTTGGGGCTTACCTTCTGGTGGTTGACACCCACAAAAATTAGCCATCACGGTCATTTCAGAGAGTGAGAAGTGCTTTGAAGGGGGTAAACCAAAACAGAACATGATGGGCAAGAGCGTGATGGGAGTGGGCACGAGGGGCTGATTCAAAGGGACCCACTTTTCTGAGAAGGTGATGTGTGAGGTGAGGTTTGAGAAGGGAGAAGGAAGCATCTAAGTGAAGGGCTGGGGTACAGGGTCTAGGCCGGGAGGTCACAGTGTCCTATTGCTTTCCTAGCCCTTAGGAACACTTGGCCAGCAGGACCCCTTTGCTGCATGTCCGGGGGCTTCCCAGACTCTCCGGGTTGGGTGTCCCCAACTCACATCACTCGTATATTGCTTGCCTTTCTAGAAGTGTGCTGGCACTGCTGGGGATGGTTTCCGCCATTGGAGTGGGAAGCCCTAGCAGAAATGAGTGAGTCCTCAGGCAACGCAGGGTCTTACAATTGGTACAAGACAGCCGGTAGGCAGCCTCAGGTCAGCTGGATCAGAAACCGGATGCCTTTATGTGCAGAAAATTCTGGCTAGGCTGCCAGACACAGCAGCTGTGGGTCCATGAGAGTGTTCCCAGGAAAGAAGTCTCAGGGAGGGAAGAGCTGTCACTCAAGTACCCTCTCCTCAGTCCCTGGCTTGCCACTTATGGCTGTCAGCCTTGGTTATGAGTCTGGCCCTTGCCCTTGAAGGATAAGGGGTACAAATAGAGGAGCATGATGTTACAGTGGTACAACATGGCTTGGAGAGAGCAGGCCGAGTAGTCACATCTCTGAAGCTGAAACCCTGGAGAATGGGGATCACTGTTACCTCTCAGGAATAGGATTATGCAGGGATTCCACAGTGCTTTGTGTGTGTGTGTGTGTGTGTGTGTGTGTGTACATTATCTGTGTCTGCCTTGCAGCTCATATCTGCACCCACATCTGCTTATGGGTGGGAAATTCTGTTTGTTCCCAAATGTGAAAGTGCAACTGTTGGGTTTACCATGCACTCATTGCCACTCCTGCCTTCTTGTCAGTGTCACTGGTAAGGAATGAGGCTGTTGAGGAGAAGAGGGCAGGCAGAGAAAGAGGGAGGAGCTTGGCCTGCAGCTCCCCCATTCATTGTCACCCCACCCCCGGACTCATTGTCCCCAGCACACAGACACATCCTGTTGGCACGATCAGAAGTTCTGATAGGAACCCGCCATTCCAGGTTTCCGCTTTGAGTAATGGGGCTGGGGGCTGGGCAGGGGCCTGAATAGGAGCTGGTGCTGCCCATCAGATTATCTTGCTAGGGTTGTCCTAAGTGGCCCCACCCTGGCCCAGGGACAGAGGCCCACGGGCCTGGAGATGGGCCAGGGAGTCAAGATATAGGAGGGGACTATTATCATGGTCATGTGGGTTCTGGTCTCACCCACTTCAAAAGCCCATGTTGGCTCCCTCAGAGTCTCAGATGCATTCTGATTGGCTCAGCTTGGCGTCCTCTGGCCAGTCAGAGAAGGAGGAAGTGCTGGCCAGTGGTGGAAGGATTAGCCTCTGTTCTGGCAGATGCATTGGAGTCAGACTTTTTTCCTTCTCTCCCCATTCACTCTCAGCTTTGTGTGTTCTTGCTGTGTGTCTCTGGGAGGCTAATGAGCCTTTATGAACCTAATTTTTTCGTTCTGTTTAGAAGGAGTGGGATAGGTTAATCCTTCCATTCTTCTAACAAGATCTTTGTTAAAAAAATTGGGAGATGTTGACCCTAGAGATAGAAATACTTAGTGGAAGTTAGATATCTTCCAACACCTAATGAAATGCTCTAGGTGGATTTTCATACACTTAGCATTATCTTAAAAAGTGAAAGACTATAATTATTATGCTCTTACTGTTTGCTGGAGTGTCATGTGGCTGGTGGGACTATGTGGAGCTGACCCAGGGTCTGTGCGTATAAATGTCAGCTTGGTTTGGGCTCAGTATAGGGGTGTCAGAGTTATTTGATAGTGGATCAGCCTGCCTTGTGTAGTAGTGAGCAGTTGAAGGATGCCTGTCAGGGATGTGTGGGAGGAATGGTCCAGCAGGAGATTCCTGGGCTGGGAGTGAAGCAGGAAAGAGATGCTCACGTTGACCACCAGGGGGCGCTGGAGAACCCCAAGTAGGGGGTTTGGCTCCACCCAGCTCCAGGTCTTACAGAACCTGCTTTTTCTCCCTACTTGGAGCTCCAGACAACAAGGGAGGACTGTGCTGGGCTGAGACCTCAGCTACCTGGAGGCCTGGGGGCATTGGTGGGGGCTAGGCAGGCAACCTAGGGCAGTGTTATGGTGGAAAAGAATATGGGATGGCTCGGCCCCGGCTCAGACCTCCTTGGCTGAAACTGCCCCTGTCCCTGCTCCAGGTATGTGCATTACTTCAGCGGCCTGCTCTCTGGCACCATCAAAATGAACAACAAGCCCTTGTTTCTGCACCATGTGATCATGCATGGCATCCCCAACTTCGAGTCTAAAGGAGGTACTGACCCCAGCCTCTGGCTTCCCAGCCCCTCCTGTCTTCCTTCACCTTCTCTGAAGAGGCAGCCATGGTAAAAACATAGGCTTGGATTGGAGTCTCAATGGCACCACTTCCCAAGCTTTCTTTAGCCCCAGTTTATCATTTGCAGAATGGGTTTGATACTTGCAACACCTGCTGGCAGATAGTGGATGGGAAATGTTTTTGTCAACTTAAAGTGCCTTTCAAATGAAAAGCTAGTATTTCTTCCTCCGCCTCTTTCCATTTCTCCTTCATCTTTTCTCCTTCCCCTTTCTCTCCCCCTCCTTTCTTTCTCCCCCACCTCCTTCACTCCTCTCCCTCTTCCCACAATTCCTACTGTTGTAGCTAACACCACCCTTCCTTACAGGGTGTCGGCCATTTCTCCGGATCTACCAGGCCATGCAACCTGTTTACACATCTGGCATCTAGTAAGTATTCCACGGGCATGAGAGTCCCGGATGCCAAAGCTCCGAGGCTGAGGACCAGGAGCAGAGGCGTGTGTGTGTGTGTGTGTATATTTGTTTGTGGTGGCGTGTTGGTGGTAGGTGGTGTGTGTGTGTGTGGTGGTGGTGGCTGCTGCCTTGAATCTCTTCCAGGAGAGGGCTAAGGGATGAAGTCGGCCAGGTTTCCTAGTAGCCTGGTGGCAGAGGGGCAGCAGGGAGAAAAGCACTGCCTGCCCCCCTCCAGCTGTCCCTCTCTCTCTGCCCGCCTCTTCCTCACAGCAACGTCCAAGGAGACAGCCAGACCAGCATCTGCATCACCATCGAGCCTGGGCTGCTCTTGAAGGGAGACATCTTGGTGAGCGCTGCCCCTCTGGCTCTAGCCCCTCCTCCTCGTTTATTTTTCTCCCATCTCTCTTCCTGCGCTCCTCCTGCTCTCCAGACAAGACCTCACTCCTGGTGGGCCACCAGCCTTAGTGTTGTAGGCTCTCAGGGTTCCTGCAAGGCCGTGCAGCCTCTGACAATGCTTGTGCATTCTCCGGCCTCGGAGTTGGATGCCCGCTGGGCTTACCTCTAATTCTGGAACAGCTCCAGGGAAATGTCTCCCAGTGGGAGCTCTTACCTCCTGGCTTCTTACTGGTGACAAGGACTCCCTCAATTCTAGCTTCAGCCCTTCCCCCATCAATTTAAATCCACTCCTACTTTTTCCATTCTGATCTGTGTGCAGGAAATTCTTGAGAGGCAGTTTTATCCCCATGGGATAAGACTGGCCTCCAACTCTCTGCTCTTCTAGAAGTTTCCCCAGAGGCTCTGAGATCCTGTTTGTGTTGGTGACCTCTCCCTCACTGGGTTTGGGGTGAGCCTGGGAGGCCCAGTCTTGGAGCTGGTAAAGAAGCTCCCTGGGACCCGGTTTCCCACCCGTGGGCGCCTGATGGGCTGTGCTCTCTTTCTCGCCCAGCTGAAGTGCTACCACAAGAAATTCCGGAGCCCAGCCCGAGACGTCATCTTCCGTGTGCAGTTCCACACCTGCGCCATCCATGACCTGGGGGTTGTGTTTGGGAAGGAAGACCTTGATGATGCCTTCAAAGGTGGGCTCATTGAGTGGAGAGGTAGACCTAGCAAGGGGTAATTCTATCACAGGGTAGAAGAGCAATTATGGGTGGGGGGGGGGGCATGGCAGCAGTGAAGGGGAACTGTTTCTGAGGGAAGGGAGGTGGTCAGGGGGATGTCTCCCTTTGTTTCTTTTCTCTATTCTTTTGAGGTTTTGTCTACATCACATTCAGGACTGGAACATATCCACATCTATCTATCCATTCATCCATCTATTCACTTGTCCGTGCATCTACCCATCTACACACCTACCCATCTAAAGTTATCCATCTATACACTCATTAATCCAAATCCATCTATCCATCCATTTACCTATCCGCTGATCCATCCATCTGTCAATCCATCCACTTACCTCCCATATACCTACCCATCCATCTACCCACCCATCTAAATCTATCCATCTACTCCTCCACTTATCCACTTGTTCATGTTTTTATCCATTTATCTATCCATTAATCTATCTGTCCACCCACCTATTCAAATCCATCCACCCATTCATCTGTCGTCCATCCATCACCAAGCATCACTTGTGTGTCTATATGTGCCAGGCGTGTGCTAGATCTTAGGGATGCAATGAGAAAGAGGTGAGTCCATAACCTCAGTCTTATGGAAGGATGAGACACACAAACATGACACTACAAAGTGATGCCTGCAGTGATAGAGACATGTACAGGCATGATGGGTGCCCCAGGGAGTGGACACCATCCTGATAACTTCACAGTGTATGATGATCTGTGTCCAGATTGGGCTAAGGGAGGGAGCGGAGAGCGGGGCTGGGACTTGGAGGAGGAGGGGAATGATCCCCTTGTGTAGTCTGGCTGGTGTAGGAGAAGGATGTGCCCTGTGATGTGTTTCCCTGCACTGGAGGCAGGAAGGCAAAAGCAGAAGATGCTGTTATAATTATAGAACAGAATGAATGTTATCAATCTTAACAAGGAACAATAAAGGAATAGTTGACACAATAAAGGTGGGGTTGGTGAAAGATGGAAGAAAGGGAGGGGCACAAATTCCTTCTCCTACATAGAGGGTGTCAAGACACCATAAAAAATTAACAGATCAAGCCCAGCTGGTGTGGCTCAGTGGTTGAGCATTGGCCTATGAACCAGGAGGTCATGGTTCAATTCCCAGTCAGGACACATGCCCAGGTTGCGGGCTCGATCCCCAGTGGGGGGCATACAGGAGGCAGCGATTAATGATTCTCTCTCATCATTGATGTTTCTATCCCTCTCTCCTCCCTTCTTCTCTCTGAAATCAATAAAAATATATTAAAAAGGGACAGATCAAGAAATAAAGGCTTAACTATAGTACTTAAAGTTTCAAATGTAATCAGTAGAATAAATGATGATGATGAGAATAATACCAGACTTTAGAAGAAGGGAGGTAGGAGTAGTAAAGTGAGCCAAATTATTCATTTTCATAGTGGTGAATCAATGGGGATTATTTAAAACTTATGTACCTAAAAATAGTGACATAAAAACTGGCTAATATTTAGAGTCTTAGAGGTAACCACTAGTAGAACAAGAAATAGAAATGGTTAGAAATGATTACCTCAGGTAAGTAGGACTGGGTCAAGGGAGGGCAAGAGACTTAATTTTATATATATTTATATTTCATATAAATATATAACTTAATATATTATCAATGTGTATGTGTATTATTTTAATCTTTTCTAGAAGAAAACCTTTTATGGAGTCCTTTTTAGAAATTGAGTGCCCATTTTGTTTTTCTCCTTTTTCAGATGATCGATTTCCAGAATACGGCAAGGTGGAATTTGTATTTTCTTATGGGCCAGAGAAAATTCAAGGTATAATTCAAATTAGAATCCATTCATCATTCACTTCTTCCCCTCTATCCTGGCCTATTCCCACCCCTCCTTCACCATTCTCCCACTGATCTTCTCTATAATTGTCAGGTTACCTATGTGATTGAAAAGCAGGCCAACAGTAAAAGATCTGGGTATCATAGTGGACCCCCAGCTAAACATGAACCAATGACTTAATCTCTGGGTAATAAAAATAAAAAAGCAGACAGAGAGGCGCTGGGTTGGATAAACTGTTCCAGTCCATTAGGTCATCATGCTATTATATTTAGAGACTGTGGGCCATGGAGGATGAGGGTGTGGCTGAGGGGACACTCAAAGGTGCTGGCTAAACGATAGGCATTTCTGAGAACTGAGGTGATTCAACCTGAAGAGGAGAAGACCAATAATAGCCTTTCAGTCTTTAGACTGGTTATATGGGGAGACCAGTTGTTCTCCATCTTAGCTGAGGACAGAATGAGAGGATATGAAATTAGTTATAGACAGGGGGACTCTGGATAGATTAAAGAAAGGACTGCTAGCTCAGGGAGGCGACTCAGCCCAGAATGTCTGCCTGGCAGCTTGTGCTGTCTTCATTCTGGGCTTTCTCTGGATGTGTAGGAGGGATTCTGTCTCTCCCCTCAGATTTCTACCTCGAGTGGGGAGCTTCTTAAGTTGGGGGCAGGAAGATGGCCTGGGTGACCTTGTGTCTTCTCAATGTCAAGGCTGTGAGCCCTGCTTCTCCCACACTCCCGCTGACCTCAGGGGCAGACTCTGGTCTCCCTGCACTGCTCCTAGGACACAGAAAAGAAAGAAGCAGAACTCAGCAGAGGGTCCCCCAGCTTTCTCTTGGGGGAGAGGGTCTTCATTCCTTAGTGCCCTGTCCTGATTTACCCCTATGACCTGGTATGAGCCTTTTCAAGAATGCAAGAAACCAGACCCCTGGGTTCTCCGTCCAACTGAAGCCACTGGTCCCGCCCCGCCCCGCCCGGGTCAAGAAAATGAGAAGTCCCGTAGGGAGCATCCTTGGGGGATCTTGTTGGCTTCCTCTGTTTTTCCAGCTGCGGATCCCTTTTCCTTTTCTATTCACTGTCTTCTTGCCCTTCCGCATCCTTGTAGGCATGGAACACCTGGAGAACGGGCCGAGCGTGTCAGTGGACTACAACACCTCTGACCCCCTCATCCGCTGGGATTCCTACGACAACTTTAATGGGCATCGCGATGATGGCATGGAGGGTAGGTGGGACCAGTGGCCTCCTGTCCCTCTCCAAACTGCTCAACCCCCGCACACAGGGCCTGGGCTCTCTTGTTTGATGGGACACCATACTGGGTTCAGAGGGGAGGCAGAGGAGAGTTCCGGGGCACCTCGGAGAGCTCACAGTTCAGTGGGAGAAGATAAGACAAACGTGAGTGTGTTAAATAATGAAGACAGAACTAAAAAATGAAGCTAAACAGCCACTTTGAGGGTGTGCCATTGGTGCCAAATGAGTCCCTCGATGGCGAGTACTCTGAGATCGGGAGGGGAGGTATTCTTGTTAGCTAGAGTGACCTGGGAGGGCTCCTCAGAGGAGGTGGCCTTGAGTGGACTTCGAGGTACCCCCTGTGACGCCGACACAGCATTTGTTAGATTTCTTTTAAGTCCCGCTGTTGCAGTTCTGCAGCCTCGCTGCCTGAACTCTCTGGGGTCAGAGCACTGGGAATGTAGACACAGCATCTAGGGCCTACAGGCTTTCATCGACAGCCAAGGAAAATGTTTGAGAGCTGGAAACAAACAGATAGGCTCCACAATTTGCAAAGAAAACGACAGAATTGAAATTAATACATGTTTAGCTACGGAACCTAACATTATGTCAGATGGTCAACTGCAACTCAGTTCAACTCTTGAGAGCTATGTGTGGGTTATATTTTTTTATGTGGTTCATTTGAATATGTGATGAGATGCAGGGCAGGGCCTCCAAAAGTGAGCATCCTGGAGCTCTTGAGATGCCCTGCCTGGGGTTTGGCCACAGGCTTGTTTCCCTGACTTGATCCCAGGACCGTGGAATGTGGGAGCTGGGAGGACCCTCAGGCCCACAGGCCCACCCCTCCATCAGTTATCCGTTGGGGTAACAGAGACCCCCTTGAAGGAAGGGTCTCCTGATTTACTCCCATGATCTGGATGTGTCCTTCCACCAGTGCCCAGCCTATGGGCTTCTCCTTCCAGCTGGAGCTGGTTCTGGGGGGGCTGCATGGCAGAGCTGGGTTAGGGAGAACCAGGCACCCGCACCCTGCCTCCCTCCTCCCTCTCCCAGGTTCTGGATTTGTGGACTCCACCCTCAAAGCCTTTTAAGCCTTTTCTTGCATAAAGATTTTCCTTCTAACCTTGTAGACACCAGCATGAGCGATGTGGGAGGAGGGCGGTGGTTGGGTTAGAATTTAGGGCTTGGTGAGGGCCTGTTGTTTATGCGCAGCATTGCAAAGCTGAAGGCTTGTCCTCAGACCCACCCTAGTTCCTTGCCCTTCCTCCCCCCAGGGGTGCAGACACCACACCAGGGCCTTCCCCACCCTGCAGAGGCAGCCCCCAAAAGGCACTACTTCTCCCCCTGCCCCCGCCCCAGCCCCATCCACTTGTGCTAAGTGGCTGAGGATGAGGCAGAGGATGAAATAAATTAGTCTGAGGTACCAGTGGCTGCCAGCCTAATTGTTCATCTTCTGGGGATGTTTGCATTTTTAACAAGAACACTTGGCAATTTGAAGGAATTTTCAATGTCTCCCCATCTCTCCCTGGTGTGGATTCAATGCGATGATAAATGTAAAAACATTTGGTAAATTCTAAAGTGCCAGGCAAATAAAAGGTAACATAATTAAGGGGGAAGAGGAGCGGCTGTGGACGGTCAGGGCTTGGGACACTGCGGCTGTGAGGGAAGGAAGAGGGAAGACGGAACAGTGAGAGGCAGGGAAGAAGGAGGGAGAGGCCTGAGGGGAGGCCCTGGACTTCCTCCTTGGCCCTGGCCTGCCTTCTTCCCTCCTGCAAACCCGCTCCCCCAGGCAGGGGTGGAACCCAGAGGGACCTTTTGGCCAGTTTAAAGGTCAGCTCCTGTAGGGACACAGGGGCTCCCTGTCTGGAGGCTGAGAATTGGCTCTATGCCTACAGGGTGGGCAGGGGAGGCAACGCACGCCCTGGCATCCTCTCCCCTGGCCTGGCCTCGGAGGGGAGCTGTGAGCTGGGGTGGTCACCAGGGCAGGCCCCACCTGTCCCATGGTGTGCTCTCTGCTGCTGCTGGGCCGCAGCGCCCACAGGGACAGGAAAGCAAGCTGTGAGCGGCCCTGGGGCGGGAGCAGGAGCCTTATCCCCATCCTGCCTGGGGTACTTCTGGCAGGCTCTAGATCCTGGGGCCCAGAGATAAAAGCATTTTCCTTTGGTCAATTCTCCAGGCAAGAGAGGGAAAGCAGGAGGCCTGTGTCTGTCTCCCTAGCTGTGGACAAGTCCCTGTGCCCCAGTTTCCCCATGTGCCAGCTGGGGTAGGGGCAACTAATCCCCAAGATTCTGGGGTGCTCAGGAGATGCTTAAGCTGGAGCGTGGGAGGGGGCCTGACTGTTCCCTGGAGTGATGGGGCTGGGGGGTGGCCTGGGGTGAGGAGGCACCTCAGGCGGCTCTGCCTGCTCTCTGGGACGTGCTGGACCAGGACGGCCGGCTGCCCCGGGCACTGCAGTGCAGTGGGTGAGCAGATGTGCTTCCCAGGCCGCCTGCCTGGGTCCAAATCCCAGCTCTCTCCTCTGCGCTGCATGTCCTGGGTCCGATTACTTAGCCTTCCCGTGGTCCTAGTGTCCTCATCTGCAAACTTGGGGCCGGAATAGTATCCATGTCGTTGGGTGTAGCAATTTCCAGGAGAGGCAGGTTAGTGTATGGGTTAAGAATGTGGCCCCCGGAGTTAAACCACCCGGGTTCAAATCCTTTGATAAGATGCCATCCTCTTGGGGCCTCAGTTTCCTCTGCTGTAAGATGGGGATCCAGTGAACAATTTTGGGGGGTCAGCAGTTGTGGAGGGGCTGCCTGCTGCGTTTTCTCATGAGTCTCTGGCATATCAGTAGTTGCTGTGGCAGCATCTCAAGGGTCTGCAGGCAGGGCTGAGGGAGAAGGCCCCTTGGCCTTGGGAGAAGCTCTGGTTTTGCCACATGCCAGCCGTGGTGCCAGTGCTTGGTAGTCACCATCTCTTCTAACACAGGCACCTGGGAAGTGGGCACTATTTTTTTAAAAAATATTTCTTTATTGATTTCAGAGAGGAAGGGAGAAAGAGACTGATAGAAACATCAATGATGAGAGAGAATCATTGATTGGCTGCCTCCTGCACACCCCCTACTGGGGAATGAGCCCACAGCCCAGGCATGTGCCCTTGGCTGGAATCGAACCTGGGACCCTTCAGTCCGCAGGCTGGCGTTCTATCCACTGAGCCAAGCCAGCTAGGGCAGGAAGTGGGCACTATTATACGATTAGATGGGGGCTCTGGGGCACAGAAGGCTTAAGTACCCTGCCCAGGATGGCCTAGCTCAGGGGTGGGCAAACTTTTTGACTCGAGGGCCACAATGGGTTCTTAAACTGGACCGGAGGGCCGGAACAAAAGCATGGATGGAGTGTTTGTGTGAACTAATATAAATTCAAAGTAAACATCATTACATAAAAGGGTACGGTCTTTTTTTTTAGTTTTATTCATTTCAAACGGGCTGGATCCGGCCCGCGGGCCGTAGTTTGCCCACGGCTGGCCTAGCTAGTTAAGAGAGGATCTGAGTGTGAAAGCCAGCGCTAACCACTGAGTAGTCCCGGGTTGACTGGCATCTCCAGGGGCCTGTTCTGGGTATCTGGTTCTGTGTTCATAGCTGGGTCCCTGCTGAGCTTGGGTGAGTGTCTGCCTGCTTTACCCCCCCCCCCCCCACTTCTCACCCCTGGGTGGACCAGATCACCCTGGTCCTGCCTCTCACAATGAGGGAGGGCTTAGAGGTGGTGGTGCGTGCAGCGAAGGACCTTGGAGGCCGCTGGGCTGGCCCCGGGGCAGGTGCTCGCAGGTCTCCGGAGCAGGGAACAACTGAGACACCTCCCTTCATGTCTCTCCCCCACCTCCCAGGAGGTGAGGGGCTGCTCACTCAGGAATGCCTCTGGTGAGGGGCTGGCGTCTCAAAATAGGTGGAGGGTAATGTGTCCAAGGTGAGATGAGGCCATTTGTGGAAGCAGCCTGCCTCTGCTATTTCAGGCCAGCCGGGGAGTGGACAGGAGAAGCCGGGCCAGGCCAGGACCTCTGGAGCCCACTGGGTGACTCAGGGGAGGGTGGGGGCACTGAGCCAGGCACTCTGGAACGAAATCGTGGCTGGCCTGGGCCTGACTTACCTTGTCCCCTCCCTGGAGTAAGGGGCGGCCAGCACTGGGGTCAGAGCTCCTGTTTCTCTGGGCAGCCCTCCAGGTGACCTTGACTTAACCCTCAGTGTCACGACGGTTCTGTGTTTAACCCCTCCCTCGCTGCCTGCATCCCCACCCTCCATCCTCCCAATTCCGGACTTAGGTGGGTGGCATTGTGACGCGTAGTGCATTCCTCCACTTGCCAGGACAGCCCTGATTCATCTCAGCGGCAAAATGAAGGAAGAAAGTGCCACCTGGGGACTTCCATTCTCCCAGGCTGGCGTGGCCCTTGCCAACCATAGTGCCCATCTAATGTCATCCTGCCACAGTGGGGAAACCGAGGCTCGGGAGGGGAAGGGACCTGCCAAATTGGGAGGCAGTCCCCACGTGTGGAACCCACCTTTGCATGATCATAGCTTCGGCTGTACCGGCAACCACACTGGTGTGGCAGGATGGGTGATGTTGCCAAAGGTCATGACATAAGAAGTGGAGCTGGTACTTGAATCTTGGGCTTCAACTCCACATCCCTTTCCACCTGCTTTAGAACTCAGCTTGTTCGGCACCTACACACCCCTATGTCAGGTGGCTCCCCAACTTCTCAAACCCTCAGGTGACAAGGAGCTTGCTGCCATGCAGCGTGGCCCATTCCACAGCGTGGATAAGCCCAGGAGATTGAACCAGAAAAGAGAGGGAGAAGGAAGGGTGTGCTTCCCCATGGGGGACCGAGGCTGGGGTGACCATGGGTTCTGGGGACCATTGTGACTCACCTGCATTTAAGCTAAAAGGAGGGGGAAGCGAAGAAAGGGGAAGAATCAATGGAAGCTCAATGTCAAGAACTTTCTGACCCTAGACGTGTCCAGGCCTTGGG